CGCAATCTGAATGAAAACCTTTTATTTTCTGCACACAAGTCATACAATGCATTTCCGAGTAGTGACTCACTATATGTTTACAACAATGCATTCTTAATAATTTGTGGCATGTCCCCAAGAAAAAAAGTATTATAGTTCGCAGGCGCTCCACAGAACATTGGGCTGCGAGCCTAGGTGATGCGCTTGAGCTTCAAGTACTTCCTCTTTTCACGGGAAGATGCTCGCTTCTTCTGGAGTACCTTTGAGTAAAAATGCAAATGAGTGAGCAGAAAAAAACTTGTTCACTTGATTGGTGAGGCTCGGACCAAGTTCTGTGCAGCCCAGTGTGGCTTTTTTTTTTTCAAGCAGGAAACAAGCGCTTCTAAATCTAAACTGTCACTGTCAAGCTCATTGTAGCTAAAGCACTCTAAAAAAAGTGATTTCAAAGGCGTCTACAAATGCAAAGAGCTTCTCCAAAAGGCCTACCCATAGGCGTCCCCACGATGGGGGCAAAGGGGTCTGGCTAGCTGGGAGGGGGGCGCTAATACCTTTACTAGGCATCGGGGCATTTTTTAGTCATCTAGAAGGGGGGCGAAAAATCTGCCTCATACACTGATTTAATAGGAAGAAGGCACCCTGCAATGAACCTTTGCCAACACCCCCCCACCCCCTGAACGGCAAGCACGCCCATGGGTGTACCCATTTCAATGCGGACAATTTCGCCAACCATAGTGTGCTCGAAGTGCCGGGAGATGTACCCCTCGCCGAAGTACAGCTGACACACAGCCGAGTTTTCTTGAAGCAGCTTGCCAGCGCGCGGGATCGCTCTCCACCACTGCACTAACAGAGCTTCGTCCGACGAAACACCAAAAAACGCATGCTTCTTTTAAGCTGACTTGTAGCCTGTAGTGAACCCCGGGACTAAGCAATGACACGCAATATTCAGCTTCGCCGAACTGTGTTAACGTTCGGCGCAGGGCTACCGATATTTTTTTAAGGGAGGGGGGGGGGGGTGCCGCAGAACGGTAAAGTTTGCCGATTGGTGGTCGCTGTTAATGCGTGTAAATATTTTAGTGTACTCTGGAAAGTTAAATTACGAAAAATTTTCGTGGTGTAGGGGGTTCAGATTCCCTTTTTATCCCCTCTTCACTTATGGCTTCCTGGTTCTGCGTGCTTTTCACTTGGTATTTGTTTTTTTTTAATTTCACAGCCTTCTGAGCGCAGCTAACTTCCAATAAATCGACTCAGTTATTCTGAATATTGTATACGCCTAATCAATGAACAAAGAGTGAACACGAAATAAGGTGTATAAGACACGCCCTTTCTGAATTATTTTTCATCTCTCACAAGGACTTTTATGGAGCTCAAATTCAGTAGTTTTGCATGTCATACTTCAAGGGCTATGAAATTATGTGCTACACAAGAATTATGGGCAGGTGCGAAGAAATATGCATCAAGAAAGCGCAACGAAAGAGCCGAAGCGCATAGCAGTTCCTGCACGCGGCTCTTCAGTGCTATTTGACTGCAGCGCCGCCGCTGTGGGCACCGCGGAAGGAACCAGGCGGTGAGGCGTGGTCACGCCACTAAACACTTCTAGTATAGGCGTGCGCAGGGTTCCCCTTCAGGGGGGAGGAGGCGAAGGGTCGTCGCAGCGCCCTCCTCTCTATTATGTAAGCTTATGGGGCTACCATTGCACCCCTCACCCCGCTGAGAGTCACAAAGCCTCCTTATTATTTAAATATGTGTGGCCGCCTTTGCGCCCTTTTTTAGGTGACTAGGGGGACGGCCGCCCCCCTGCCGCCCTAGTGCGCACGGCTGTGTTCAGAGTTACATGTCTATGAATTTTAGAAATAATGTAACCCACTACCTAGTAACCCTGTACTGATGTTCCACCAAAGTAGACGTAATACTTGTTTTTTATTCACAATGTCAGCACGCATGAACACCTAAACCTGATCAAGATGACTGGTCGTAGAGGAAGGCGTTAAACTTTTGCCTTTCCACTGAATCGGTTTAGAGGCCGAAAACCACAACGTAACAAAGTTTATGCCTCGAAGTATTCCAAGAAAGACTTGTCTTTAAAGAAACGAGAAAGAATTAATCTAGAGCGGGGCGTCGAACCAGTGACCACTCGCTCATCAGCGCGCAAAGCTAACCACTCTTTCAAAGAGCCTACATTGAGTAGTTAGGTAACGACGACCATTTATATACACCATACACCACTGGCGGTCCTCATAGATCAGTATTTCAGAGCGTATTCGTTATCCGTACAAAGAAGGCGCGAGGGGCGTTGGCCGTGCACGTTCTAAAGGGGGTCACCTCGCGCCACCCCACGCCTTGCGACGCGTGCCCGCCTCCACATGGCATGGTCAAAGTTCGTATAGATATGTTCTCAAGCGTAATAGCTCGCTCACCCACGTGGTTATTTCGGGATTTGATTGTTTTGTAGCTCTTGTGCTTTCACTGCACGTTTGCTTTGAAGTTACGGTGGCTAAAGTGAGTCCGAAGGTCACTTCACTCGCTGCCACAGCCGCGTTTACGAAAGGAGCACAGTGCTGACACATGACGTGAGCAATGTGACAGTTATTTGTGCTCGTCCTGTGGATACTTGCTCGTTCGTTTTGTGCGTCTTTCTTTCGGATCGAGCAGCGTGCTTCAAGCGACCAGCTGTCACGGTTCTTTTGTATGCTCATTTCTTGCACGCATTCTCCTTGAGGCGTGCGCTGCAAGTTTCCAACAACTTGCCATTATTCGTGTGACATTGCAATTTGTTGCTGTAGCCTTCATTCTATCGCTCGTTTAGCGGAACAATGTACAAAAAACGCTCAACTACTTCTGTGAAGACACGTTCCACTTTCTTGTTATACTGATTCCTAAAAAAAGAAATCAGCCACGTTTCTTTATTTGTGTGTATCTTGAATATTACTACCATATTGTTGCAATAGTTGGCTCTAACATACCCTACACTCTAAGCCGAAGTTCGGCAAAGCTGGACTAACTGCAGTCGTTAAACCAACGAACGAACGCTTCGTCCAACAGAGACTAAATGCGTGGCAGTGCGTGTCGTGCGCAAACGCCCGGCAATGAAGGGACCAACGGGAAAGGAAACTGCGCCGCAATCACCTCCTGTCGATGCTGCACTGCAATGCTCGGCGTGGTCGGCGATCATGAAAACAAGGTATATAGGCTGGACGCCACTGTGAAAGCGAAGCACTATTAAACGATAGAAGATGTTATGAGAGGCAAGGAGTACAACACGCAGTCAGTGCACACAACAAGCGCCCTCGTGTTTCCAGTATGCCGGCACGGGTCGGCCGACACCAAGTGAAAGTTGCCGAACATGGGCAATGCTGATAACTCGCTTCAATGTGCTGAATTAGTTTGAACTACGAAGAAAGCTTGCAACGGTAATAAAAGTAAGCTGTTCGTTAGCGGTGGTATACCAGCACAGTGACCACAACTTCAAAGCGATATATAAAAAAAGTAGGCTTTGTACGTCATTAGTATCAAGCTGGCTGCTGGTGTGAGTGCATTGCTGACACACGCGAAGAAAACGTCGCATAGAATTTCTTTTACAGAAAATATAGTACCCTGCATTAAAGCTCAGGCAAAATTAAGTCTTTTTCTCCACGCGACAATCGTTATCAAACATCTAGCATGTAGGCGATCGCGGATACGACTAATCGTACGGCCGGCGGTACACAGCAAGCGACTTACCAGCACGATGAAAGAGCCATGCCTGCGAATGGTCTCGTCGCTGTAAGTGTACAGATATCTACATCACTGCGTAAGATACCGCGAGCATGGGACACTTACCTATTTGCGGATGTGACTATAAAATGACGACGACGAAAACTCCATGCGAGCCGCATGTTGCGATTGCCGGTGGTCGTTTAGCCGCACTCGTCGTAAACCTAGCCACGCCGTCGGCAAGCAGACACGGTATGGCATCGGCAGGACGCCTGGCTGGATTGTCAGCTTTCCCGCATAAGCGCCGCTGCTATGTTTGTGTTTACGGACTCGACCACCAGCACTGCGAACGATGGTTCGGCTGACATGATGGAATGTCAGCTGATGATTTGTATTCTCTGGCTGGAGGGATGTTGAAGATTAGATGGATCCATATTAAAAGATTGGTGCACTTGGGTGCTACGAATTAGCTCATGTAATTTTTCACATTGCAGTGTCAATGTTTATTGCTTTTTATTTTTATGCTGAGTAAAAGTCGCCCACTTGCACTACATGGGAGGTCAAATTACTGTACTATATATATACGATAGTTCGTTCTCTGTAGGGGAAAGCGGGCGGTCAGTGTTTGCGGTGTTTACTTTGAAATAATAGTGCGTATATATATATATATATATATATATATATATATATATATATATATATATATATATATATATATATATATATATATATATATATATATATATATATATATATATATATGTTTGTTGCATGACCAATATACTGTGTTCTTCAGTGCTGATTAAATTGGAATAAACATAAAATATACTCCACAAGTGGAGTGTCGCCGTTTTTTTTTTGCCTTTCGTCCAGGTGGTTCAACTGTTAGTCCCACTTGAGCATTTCACTGGGATCAACATTTAAACCAAGTGGTGGAGTGCTAATGGGTAACAGTTGAACTCTTGCAGTTGCTTCCGCAATTAGTCAAAAATTGATTCAAAATCTGTGGCCGTGCATTTAGTCCCCTGAAGAACCAATGGCATACCTCACTTTAGTCCTTTTCGGCTTAGAGTGTACCTTCTTTTTTCATCCATAAATAATAAATAAAGGATAGTAGTAAACGCTCGTATTGTCTCACCACTTTTTGGTTATGCATTAATTTTTCGTTAATGATCTGCGGATATGGTATAGGTAATTCGATTCGCAGCAATGTCATTTTCGAAACTTAAGTATACCTGTCCGTCAAACATATCAACTTGTCGACTAACACTTGTGCCTGTCGTTTCCCATACACGAAGCTGCAGTCACTAATTTTCTCACCTTTCTTTCAGGTCTGCAAGCGTGGCCAGTGCGTGCAACTATAATAAGTGGACGTTCACAAAACCTTTAAGTCTTGCTCTCATCTTTCCAAGTGACAGTGTATTCGGGGGACGCCTTCTCTGCTTGCTGCTTCCACGCAACTTCATTATTAAAGGGTCCCAATTTATGCTGACTTGAAAGGCAAAACAATGGTTTCTTTGTCGCCTTCTCTACAAACGCTATCACCCCTTGGCCTTTTACATCTTCACAAAACACATAAAACGTCAACTCTTAGCTTTGAGCCGGTGAGCATTTCACGCTTTTTTACTACACGCTGCTATCTGAGCTTGCGCAGTCTCAAACGTAAGAAACCAAGTGAAATCAATCTTTCACCTATACTCATGCAATAGAAATAGAAATAGAATAGAAATGCAATAGAAAATACTCATGCAATAGAAAGCAAAGCGTCCACAGAGGGCGGAAAATCCTTATTCCTTTATGCACGCGCTCTCGCAAGCTGACACGGAGCTCAGTGCCACTTTTTCCCCCGGCGGCTGCCTGGCATCACACTAAAAATAAAATAACGAACAGAACATGTCTTCTATTGCATTACTGGTGAGGTCATCAAATAGAGAGAAAGACGACGAAAAACCAAGAGGAAGAGGGTTGGCGCAGAAGCCTTCTTTACCCACTTCGCATGCAAGCGGAACGTGCTCATACCTTCTTTCAGGTCCGCTGGCCACTTAGACATCGCGGCGATTTGTGAATTTCGTTTACCATTTTTTTAAGTTTTGATCGTGTGTTCTGTATTTCAGAAAGTTAAGCTCACCGGTTTTCAGTGAGACGAAACTCGATCGGCACACATAAAATAAACTCTTTTATTGCACGTTGTGTATAAAACAGATACAAACACGCAGTGCCATAAGGTCAACTAGGTTTAATTTACAAGTGACATATGAACATAAAAAGCAAAGATTGAACCTAGAACGTTCGACCCAATGCGCAAATTGTCAACAACGAGTAGGACACGTAGTATTTGACTCAATGACGTTTGTTAGAACGGCGCACATGGTTTTCTTACAGAACCTGAGTACCAAACAAGACTGAAGTTCACAGGCACAGAGAGGCATAAAGCGATCAGACGTTTTTTCACGAGAAAACATCACCGCAAACAGAAGCTTGGGAATTAGACTTGTCCTCGTTAGGGTGATAGCGTCACGTTGAGAAAGAAAAATTCACTTGACACAGTGCTGGCTTCAGCGACATTCCCTGTAATATTTTGGGAGCTTTTTGTCGATAATTTTTATTTGAGTGACAGTAGAAGTAAAGACTAAAGCTGCTGCTACATGAATTCCAAAAACAAGAAGGAGCCTATAACTACTTGGCATCATTTGAGCTACTAGCATAATAGGCTATAAGTATTTACTCGAACAAACGCGAATTCTAGCCTTTCATTAAACACATTTTCCCGACTGTGGCTTGGCTACCGTCTTGACCAATTAGTCTAGTGACAGTCAGTTCAGCCACGCTTGCCGAGAAATAGGTTTACTCACATGTGCTCATGCAAAAACAATATCTGCTCCAATAATGGGTGTATAGTGCACACCCGTTGGTACTAGCAAACCTGAAAACGTTCGCTCAGCTCAAAATTTCCAGCTTGACGCACCGCAGAGATGCGAAAAGCATGTGTTGCTTGATTCAGCCGTCTTCGTGGAATGCAGGGTTGACCTGCTCGGCGTTGCTCACTGCGGATTCCCTTCTCTTCCCGCCAAAACTTGCTGATTTGAACAACTTTCCCGTATTTAGCACGCCGACCAAGCGAGATAACTGAAAAGTGATCCCAATTGTAATATTGCTGACCGAGTGGCGAAAAGGAGCGGAGGCAAGGGCTACGAGCTTAAGTCTTCATATGAAAATGATGATGTCCTGGCAGTGAACTGTCTGTTTCCTACCAATGTCCTACATGACCTTTATGGTTCCTCATTCGATATTTCGCCTGCAGGACGCTACTTTATGTTTACGAAATCCTTCCTCTTCCTTTGAAAGGATTCCTCCTTGTTACTTCAGGGATGTGTCCTTCAGATTTACTGCAAGATGTTACATGGCAGCGAACTGTATGTTACCTGCAAGTGCACCTTAGTTCACATGTTAGTAAGAAGAGGCACTACGAAAAATTTGCCCCGTATCTGCACGTTACGCTGCAAATGTCGTTGAAGGACAATAGTCTTGCGTCTAGAGAGAGTGAACAAAACGCTTATTTGATGTTCTGCGCATGATAATTTGTAAATGGTATTCTAGAGGAGCTGCGTTAGAGTGCTTCGAGCGTGCAGCGGAGGCGAACGAGCGCATGAAGTCACGTCACACGTGATACAAGAGCGCTATCTGACAGTTATCTTGGAAAACGAAGCGCGCGCACTCTGCGCACCTGTCTTGGAGGGGATAAGGTGCAGAACGCAAGGCCACGGCTAGGTGCCACCACCGTGTCGTCTTAGCAAAGCATTGGAATTACTTGCTTTTTCCTGCGATTGTTGCAAGGTCAGCGCAACGTGATAAACGCTACGGTCCTTAGAATTACCTATGTATGCATTTTCTTGTGAAAAACACAGATACAGAATATTAACGTATTGTTATGGTCCTTCAGATATACGCAATAATTACTTTTTAATTGACAATCGCACAAGTATGAACGCTGAATCTTGAGCAATAATAAGGGCGCTGCGGCTAGGGTCGGCCTTTTGGAGTATCGTTTGGCCTATTGGGTGCCGTTTCGGGTACGGCTAGGGCGGACAAACAGACAAATGTATTTTTGCGTTGAAAGTCCCAATAAAGACTATCGTCTTTAAAAACAGTGCTTAACAGTGCCGCGGCCAGACGGGTGAGCGACTGTGCCAAATTCCTCTCCCAAAACACATTTATATATATATATATATATATATATATATATATATATATATATATATATATATATATATATATATATATATATATATATATATATATATATATATATATATATATATATATATATATATATATATACGAAAAAAGGAGCCCTTAGGTATACAGTTATTTCTCTTATTCATTGACGTGGGTCTCGTATGGCAGACTTGGTGCCGTTAGGTTGTATACGAGAGAGTGTTGGCCAGCTGCCAGCTCCTAATAAGTTCACGTGCTACGTGACTCCATACAGGCTCATAAAATGAGTGTGCCGCACTCGCCGCCATGGCTACAGGTGGCGCTGACTGACACTCCCACGTTTAAATTCACACGCAAACCCGATGAAGTGGCTGGGGAGATAGCCGCCGTGAGAAGTCACTGTACACCATCGAACGCGTTATTCGAAGGTCATAGTTCTATTCCTGCTCACGGCAAGTTATTTTTTCACCCACTTTTCTTTCTTTTTATTTACATTACACTGGTTCTAATAACTTCTTCTATACATTTCTTGGCATTATTGTCTGTTAGATCTCATTAATATTGTGTCAAAACACGAAAAAATGAGCCTTAGGTATACACTTATTTACCTTATTTATTCACGAGAGTCTCGTATGGCAGACTTGGTGCCGTTAGGTTGTATACGAGGGAGTGTTGGTTAGCTGCCAGCTCGTAATAAGTTCACGTGCTACGTGACGCCATACAGGCTCATAAAAAGAATGTGCCACACTCACCGCCATGGCTACAGGCGGCGCAGAGTGACACTCCTACGTTTAAATTCACATATTAACCAAATATACTGGCTGGGGGAATAAACGCTGTGATAGCTCAGTGGTAGAGCATCGAACGCGTTATTCGAAGGTCGTAGGTTTGATTCCTGCTCATGGCAAGTTATTTTTTCAACCACTTTTCTTTCATCCTATTTAGATTGCATTGGCTCTAATAACTTCCCGCATACTATCCTTTGCATTATTGTCTGTTAGATCTCATTAATATTGTGTCAAAACACGGAAAAAGGAGCCATTAGGTATGTGCTTCTTTACCTTATTCATTGACGAGGGTCTCGAATGGCAGACTTGGTGCCGTAACATTCAAGTAGCGCAACATTCATACTTAGAGGGTGGTCTCACACCTACATACACGGATGCAGTGCTCAGATTTAGTGAAACATAAGAGAGTCAATTCTTTGAGCTTGAAAACGAGTTCCCCTCGCACCGCAAATAATTTTTAAGATATGAAAATTGCACCCGCTTAATTTTTAACAAAGAATCTAGTGATATCCTATTCACGCAGATTTCTAATAAAAAAGTAGGTGTTTAATTTTATATGTCTTAGACAGTATTCAATTCAGTGTGAAAAGTTAATTATACATGAGTGCTCCTACAAAGTAAACAGCACAGTACACATGGTCGGAAATTCTAGAGGCCTTATCAAGCGCGAAACGTGCCTGTCACTGTCTACACAAGTGCTAAATAAAATCATTGGTTGATATCATAGATAAACAAAAGTTTTGAAATCATGATGTCATCACGTGACATCGCCGCTTGGTCTAATTTGGGTAGATCCCCGAGAAATTGACAAACCACATTAGGTGCAGGAATTTTTCGGCGAGGGAATACAGTGGACCAAGAAGCAGAAAAGGATGGCTGCTTCGGCGTTCAAATCCTCTAAGACAAAAGCAAATGGGATCATGGGAGGCTTATTGGAACATAAGTTTGACTCCCCACCTGCGCACTTAATGTGCAGTTCGTGCACATGATACCACAGATATCTTCATTTCTGTTTTAGAACAGCGGCAAAGTGGTGTTGTATACGAAGTGATCACACTAAACAATTGCTTTATTAGTACTCACCTATGTGAGTACTCATAGCACTAGAATTTGATATGGTTATCGCGAAAACTCACGCACAGGTTTTTTGCAACGTTCCTATACTTTTGTTTCAAACTTAAATTTGCCTTCCCCCCTCCCAACCCCTTCGTGTTTTTACCATCCTGAGAGTCTGGACAGCAGGCTAGCTGATTGGGACCCTTGGCTTAGGGAGTGGAAGCTGCAAAACCAGTCCGGGTCATTTGTCATTTGGGAGGTGCAGGGGAATAGGCGGCTCACACTTTGTGGCTGCACCCAGTGAGCACTCGAAGAAGTTCATCGGAAAAATACGCTTGAGTGCGTCTACGTTTTTGGCAAACGTTTCATTTTCTATATAGGTGTGTATGGTACGTGGCTTACGCTGAGAGTAAATGCGTTATGTCCCGCTTTGGTCAGTCAAGTCCG